GCAAGTTCCGGAACGACCACAGAGTTATAATTCGATCAAAAGAGAGGAAATCATACAGGTGGATTTGGAAATTACGTGAGGCTAAGGTGAGTGCATACTATAGGTTTAATTCAATGGAAATAAGACTTGTGATAAGTCTATTTCCTATATTAGTTTTCATGGTCTAATATTTATGAATATACATATATTATGATCATTATAGACACATACATGAGTTATATATGTTTATTACATGCTATTTGATTCATGTGAATGTACTCAAATAACATACGTTATATGATATGAGATTGATGGTTACATGTACATGTGATATGTGACAGAAGTGAAGAAATATGTGATTATAAGAGAAATGATATAAATACATGAATATATGAAGCATAATGATAGTGCCCATGTTATGTGATATGAGATCTATAGGTATAGTTGGCATGCCAGGAGTCGAGGGTTACATATGTCCTTCGGGACATATGATAGGTCCTTCGGGACATAGATGACGTCCTTCGGGACATAGATTTCACATGCCACTCAGTGGATTCTTATACGAGTTGTGGTGACTGCATATGTGTGAACAACCTCAAAGTACTCGCATACCTTAAGTTCTCAGTAATGTACATGGGCTTATAAAAGATAAAAAGAGTATTTACATGATTGTATATTAACATGTTATTATTGTTTACACTGATTTATATATGGCAATATTGATTTATGATATGATAATCATAATTGTATTTGGACAGTTAGATTGCATGTTCATATTTATAGGAAATGTATTATTATATGTTTATGCCTCACTAAATCTATGACTTAGCGTGTAAGTGTTTTTACACGTAGGTACAGGAAAGCAAGAGGATTAGCCTTAAGATTTGCAGAGTAGCATATCTCCACTCGAAGATTAGATCAGAAGTACTTTGCACAATATGTTTTGTTTTATGTAATAGATATGTTGGCATGTAAACAGAGTCGTAAAGTACGTATGCTCTGATCAATTTTATAATGTTTTGAACTTAATTATGTAAAATATAAATTTTATGTTAATGAAAGTTTAAATTTTCTATAGTTTTTATAAATGTACATGCTTTGAAAAGTCAATGTGATACGATTCGTATCCGGGTCGGGTACGGGGTAGGGGTGTTATACCGATCCTCCAAGTTCCAGGTTTGAGTTGCCTATCAAATAGTATCTGAAAGGGAAAATTTTGGGGGAGTGAGCTAGGAAGCTCAGTGTGTTGCAACAGTACAAAAATAAAACATATAGTTAAGTTTCCAAAATCAGTTCATTATTAAAGCCAGAACTGCATCCGTAAGGACTTACCTTAGGACCAAAGGGCGTAGGTGACAACCTAAGGGAGCACCTTGGGTTCATAAGGTCTAATCCTAGCTGAAGCGTAGGTGCCCACCTGAGGGGTGTGCCCTCAGGCCCATAAGGACCCAAAGGGCGTAGGTGACAACCTAAGGGAGCACCTTGGGTTCATAAGGTCTAATCCTAGTTGAAGCGTAGGTGCCCACCTGAGGGGTGTGCCCTCAGGCCCATAAAGACTTACCCAATGCACATAGCACAAGAGTCACCCTAAATGAGTAACTTAGGGTCTATAAGGTCTTACCACTAGGCTCATTGGGCCCAGGAGCCCACCCAATGGTCTCCTTAGGTTCATAAGGAATTACTAGCTTGATCGGTGTTGAACCTATGTAAGGAATTACCAGCTTGATCGAATCTGAACCTGTAGAGACTTCATACTAGATCCCAGAGTACCCCGAAGAAAATAGTTTCAGACAATAATTAGCAGTAGCAAAAAATTCAGAGTTCAAACATATATTAATTCAATAAAAACTGTAAACAGAGAACATAATCAGACAAGCATGATTAAAAACTTCAGTAAATCAGAAATCATACTTGAAACAGATAAAGCATACGAAATCAAGTCAAAAAAGATAGTCACATTGCAAATCAGATAAACCAATGATGTGCACATGATATTTCCAACATATATTTAAAACAGGTATATGGCACACAAGAAACACACCTCAGAAAAAGAATCAGTTCGGGAGATCTATCGAGCACCAGCTTCACTACGCTCTTCGATAGTACGAGAACCTAAGTCATATCATAATAAAATTATTATCGGAGCAGTACACTAAAATGAGTATTTAATAGGGTTGTAGAACTACATGAGTAATCACAGGATCTCGCGATCGAGCGGATCAGATATATTAAAGATTTACTACAAAAAATTGAGATGGAAAATGCTAAAGCTTGTTCAACGCCTCTTGCTAATGGAACAAATCTGTCATAGAAGAAGGAGAAGTCATGAGGAATCCAACTTCTTATAGACAAATTATAGGAGATTTTCAATATCTCACGCACACTTGGCCAGATATAGGATATGCTGTCAACAAGCTTAGTCAGTTTCTTCAACAACCAACTATGGTTCATTGGCAAGCAGTCAAAAGGGTTCTTCGTTACTTGAATGAAACTATTTTAGTTAGGTTGCACATCAAATACAATGACAGACTTTGTTTAAGTGGATTTTCAGATGCTGATTAGATGAGTTGCCTAGATGATCGTCGTCCAGTTACAGGGTATTGTGTTTACATTGGTGACACCCTGATTTCTGGGTCTTCTAAGAGACAACATGTTGTAGCCAAGTCAAGCACGTATTTTGAGTATAGGTCTTAAGCAAATCTTGCAGCAGAGTTATCGTGGATTACTTCACTTCTTAAAGAGTTTTCATTCTCTTTACCTTCCAGACCCATAGTTTTGGTTGATAACTTACGTACAACTGCTCTCTTTTAATATTGTGCACCATACTCGAACAAAGCATATTAAAATAGATGTTCACTTTATTAGATATATGTTTTTGAGGAAAGATCTAGAAATTCGATATGTTCTGTCACATGATCAAATAGCAGACTGTCTTACAAAGGCGTTAACAAATTCTCAATTTAAATTCTTGCGTGAAAAACTCGGTGTTACTGAATCACCCTTTCGTTTGAGGGAGAGAGTTAAAACAGTAACGTGATCAACCTTGGTGCCTAGTCTTCAATAGAAAATCACGTTTGTTTCCTTAGTAATATATATGTTAGTTGTTCCTATTTTATTTTCTAAAAATCCTACACGTAATTCCTCTAGTTTCAAACAATTAGTTTGTATCTTCCTATATTAATATTAATGAAATATCAATGCTAAAAATGTGCTGAATTTTTCTGTTACTCTTGTTGTCATAACTTTACATTTTATTATGGAGGCAGCATTCAATCGAGTCGAGTTGAATAAAAACATTTCGAGTTATTCGAGTTTGCGAGTCATATTTTATATCTTAAACTTGAAATTTTTTCGAGACGAGCCGAGTTGTTCGAGTTTCTATACAAATTTAATTGTAATTATTTATATCATTATAGTACGGATTTATTCCAATAATCCGACTTTCTCTAATCATATCAGATATATATTTCATCATGTTCTTTTCACATTACAATGTTATTTAATATATCACATACGATCTAAAATTATAAAATATATTCACAATATCAAAGAAGGTCTTTTGAGGATAAAATATTAATGAGTAGGTATGAGTTTTATTGATGTGAAGTAAGAATTGGTAAACAATTGTGGTCCAAAAGGCTAAATTGAGTAAAATGCAAAGTTGAAAAAAATCGATTTTTTGAGTCGAGATATTTTTGAAAAATCGAGTTATTCGTTCTGCACATCAATTGAAAAAAATATCGCTTTTTTTATGTTTCAAAATTTCGATTTTGAAATTTGAGTTATTCGAGTTATTATTTCTTCATGTCAATTGAAAAATAATCTATTTTTCGAATCGAGTCGAGTTCCTACATTGGATGTCAATTTGAGTGACATGACAAGGTCCAAATAGAGAACCTTGGCATCATTTTTGGGAAGTTGGCTTGTTTTTTTACGGGGTATTTATTGAGCTAGTCAATCGCGAGTTGGACAGTGTTCTACTCGTGCTCGTTAAAAAATTGTATTGCTCAATTTGACTCATTTTTCTTTAAAAAAATTATTGCTCGACTCGTGCTCGTTAAAAAATATATTGCTCGACTCGTTGCTCGTTAAACTCACTAGAATTTTTTAGTAAAATAATTAGGGTTTATTTTTTTAGTGTAGTAAATTAATAATTAATAATTTAATATTTTTAATTGTTTATTAGAAAATATTATATTAGTAAATTAGTAGTAATTATTAATTAATAATTTAATATCTTTCTTATTATCTATTAGTAATTATTATTTAGATTTTCTTTTTATTAATCCAATAAATTTTTAAGGTAACTACAAAAAATTTATAAAAAAAATTAACGAACTGCTCGCGAACTTATAAAGTTGAGTTGGACCTTGATCGACTCAACTCGTTAAGGTCTCGAGTTGTGCTCGAGTTCGAATCAAGTCAACTCATATTGGATATTAACCGAGTATTGATCGAACTTTGATCAGTCAAATTTGAGCAGATCACGAACTCCTCACCCTCGTTAAACTTTAAGTTTAAATCGTTTTGTGAAATACAACTCGAATAACTTAAAATTTTTACTAATTATTGGATTGATTTTTAAATTTGAGTAAAGTTCCTCGATTCTGTATAATATATGCATATTACATATGAAAAAAATGAAGAAATATATATATATATATATATATATATATATATATATAGTTATAAAATATTATTTAAATTGGAATTAAATAATATTATAAATATTTATAATTAAATTTAAATAAAAACTTGAAAATTCGAATCGGCTTGAATTTTATAAACTCGACTCAACTCGAAAAAATTTCAATTCAACTTCGAATTATAAAATAGAACTCATCAACTCAAAATTATCTTACTCAACTCGACTCGATTGAACGCTAAACATAAAAGAGTTAATACTTTCCCCCACGCATAACCTTTTCATTTACTATTCTAACCAAAATTAGCAAAAACAAAATAAAACCAAATATAAATAATAAATAACAAATGGTTTTCAAAATTTCTTTCATGTTTGGGACTTACGATCTGCATCAATGCTTTCACCTTTCCAAAGATGAAGCCCTGAGTTTACATCTCGCACTCATCTTCTTCACCTCTTCTATTGAATATATGAAGATCTTTCTCACCATCTTGCAAAAATCCCTACATTTAAAATAAAGGAAAGATCAAATTTCTAAAAACCAGGAAACAAAGTAGAAGTGTTTCTTTCAAAGTAACTTACATCCATGGATCATCACCCACAAGCATCATATCACCCTCATCGTCGGTAAAGACAACGGACCATTTACCACGGGGGCAAAGCTCTCCATCGATATCAAACATCTTTTCCAGCTCATTAACGAGATCATCGTATCCTTTCAATACAGTTAAGTCCACGGCACGACCAACTGCAATCCCTTGCATGTGTACCTTCCATATCCACAAATATTGTTTCAATCAGGAACTTGAATGATAGCAATATGAGAATAAACAAGTAGTTATGCTCTTTACCTTGGTACGAGTTCTAGCTGAAGTAGAGGCACTCTGCTTAGCTTGCATCTTCTTGGTTGAGGTCTCTGATGCAACTCTCTTCTCCTCCTTTGAAGACTTTTCGGTTTCAGAGTTCTGATCAATATAAGACACATCCGGAAGAAATTCTCTAACGCCATTGTCACCTATCATTGTGCTTGCTTGTTCCATGTCCGTGAAGGTAGTTGCACTAGTGTTATCTTTCAAATTAAACCCGAACAACCGGCAACCAGTAGCATACTCAGATATTTTCCCTTTCTCAACTTGTTCATACTTCAGGCCCTCGCTTGGTCCCGATTGAAAAGAAGAGGAATAACCAGTGACAGCGGTCTGTGGCGTTTTAGTTTTGTTTTTGTCACCCAATGAACCAGGGAAAAGGTCTAGAGAAACATTCACAAGATATGAATGTGGCCAGGCATATTCGAGGCGAGTCCTTGAGTTATAACCTCCACTACTATTAATAAGACTGTAATCAGCTTCTTTCTGCCTCATAGGCCACATAACTTGGCTTTCACTGCTTTGGACTCCAGGTGTACTTCCTACTTGTGTTAGTTCATGAGATTTGGTTGAACCATGGCCCCAGAAAGCTGAATCAGCTGAGTTCATCGTAATGTCTGCAATTCCGATTAATATATCGAAGTTGGTAAAGTCGGCACCCGAGACTCGACTAAAAATACTTTAAAGAGTAATTTTCCCTCACCAGAAACTGGAATATCAACAGGTCGCGGTCTTTTGCTCTTTACGGCTAGTTGTACAAGATTTATAGAAGCAGAAGCCACAAATGGCTCTATTTCCCATGGAGAAACTCTCATCGGCCTTTGTATTGTTACAGGTTCATCCCATTGAATCTAAGAGCAGAAACAGTTGGGTAGAACTACTATAAAAACAATCAAATTAGTATTCGATATCGATAATTCAAAATTATATTTGACCTTCAAGGACCGCCATTTAGATTCTGACCAATGTGGGGAGAAATCTCCAACTCCGACTATCGTACCGGTTAACCTGGTTTCAAAAAGGAAATCAGAACAGGTAAAATTGACAGGAAAAATCAAAGATAAACTTTAGAGAACTATGTACAGAGATGAACATACCTTCTCTCAGGAGAGTCTTCCCCCTCGAATCTCATCTTAAAACGCATACCAATAGAGAATCCATTGTTAATGGCCTCCAAATACTTATTTACTCCAATTATGAATTGGCTCGTCCTAACAATCGAGGGGGAAAGAAACTTATCCAACAGATAATTAGAATAACAAGCTAATGCTGCCAACCATTTCTACATCAAGAGAGAACATTAAACCTTGGCTTGTAGTACACAACGAACAGGGTTTGCGTCGTAACGGCATGAGCAGCAGTAGCAAGCACTCCTAAATAAATGCTCTGGCTAGAAATCACAGATGAAGGCATTGTGCTCGGTTGACAAGCAAGCCGCCGAACCCCAACCCTTAGTTCTCCATTATCACTTCTAATAAAACAAGTCAATACAATTAGAGACTATAAAAATGCTACAGATCTGGACTTGCAAACATTGACACAACACAAAAAAGAAAGTTGCAGAAGTCCAAGTACCTGAGAAACACAAATGTGTCTCCGGCAACCAATCTCTTGGAAGTGACAAAGGTGCTCCACCCCGTAGTAAGCAAATGTCTCCGTGGTTGCCCTGATTAAAAACAGATCGAGAAAGCTGCTATTTACAGTTTCTAAACAATGAAAAGATAAGAAAGTAAATCAGAAATGGAAAAGAACCATCACCCCTAAATATATGCTTGAACTGCCACTCGTACCCATGAAGATCTTTAGCAACAAACTCCCGAGTAGGGTTTGCTTGATTCATATCCTGTTTAAAATAAACAAAGTTTAATCTGACACCATAATTTTTAACACCATAAACCAAACTTATTACCAGAGGAGGCAGGCACTCAGTGGCATGCTTTCGGAGAATAAAGAACCCTCCATGAGTGCTCGTGTCGGATGCCGTTAAAATCTTACAAAAGGAATGAACTGTCCTCTTAGGAGCCTCAATTGGGCAGGGATCAGGACTTGTGGGTTCACTTTGCTGTAATGCCAAACATGAACATATATCCAAAATGGATGACAATAGAATAGAAAATATCCAAAGCCCGAGTGTTAAGCAAGGTATTACCAGTCTACCATAACTAAATAATTGAACTAAATCAAATGTTTCCATTCACAATTCCTAAGAAAAGTGTGGATGGGATAGCCATTTACTTACATCTGCTTCAGGCTGCAAAGTGATCTGAGCATAAACCTCATCGGTCTCGTGTTCGGTCTATTTCAATAACAAATATACAATTCACAATAATAAGATAGTTTTGTCAAGCTAGAAAACTAGAAAACAAATAGTAGGAAAAACATAATGAGAGATGGAATACCAGTAACTGAACGTGAAGAACACGACATAGGATCTTAGAAGGAAGATTAAACAGTGGGGCTTGATTATTAATTTCCTGATTAGTCGATGCTTCTAACTGCATAACACATCAGAGATAATTCAATAAAAAAAACAATGCAAAAACATAAGCAAGAATCCAAAGAAAAAATAAACAATTTCTAAAAATACAATTACTTGTTCCATGTGACCCTGAGGGAAGTAAAAGACTCTCTCGTGATCCCGAGGAATCTCTACCAACGGGGCTGCGCATAACTTCCATAGCTCTGGGTATAGATCATCACTACCGGAACCTATCATAAAAAAAAAAGGAAATTCAAATATAAATATTTCATAAGTAAGCTGCTAAACTAATACCCAGTTAAGTTTTGTTCAAAACACGAATGGCCGTACATTAACTATAGAACAACCTAATAGAGAACCCATATTTGTTCTTCTAGTTTCTCAGTAGCCAAGCAGAGTTATTTTCCAGACACCCAAAAATAATAAGACAACCCATTTTCTAAACTCTGACCTGAGACGGTGTGATCAATGGAAGAACCCCATGGTTTAAGTTCTACATTAGCCATCAAAACTATGACGTACAGATGATGCAGAGAAAGTAAATGAGTGAAGAAGAGGGAAGAAAAAGTGTTGGAGTTCACCCCATTAACGAAAGCAAAGAAGAAAGTAAAAAGAAGCGACGGTTATATATGAATTCATTGTTGTTAGTTTGTAACGACAAAGAAGATACTCTTATAATGATCTTTGGGGTGCTGCTCTGCTTCAGTTACAAAACCGCTTTCTGCTTTTGCTTTGGTTCCTTTGAAACCGCTTTTGTTTCTTGGCTTTGCTTTTTGTTGCTGAAGAACGCAGCTCTGATGTAAGACTGACGGTGTTGCTGCTTCTCTTCCTCCAACAAAAATGAATCGGCGTTACCAAATCCCCAAAACCTCTCTCTGTCGGGTCTATCTTGAGATTTCTCTTGCATGTTTGTTATTTTTTTAAGAAAAATAAGGACGGGTTAGAAAAATAATAAATAGTCATTATCATTTTATAATTTTTAATAATTTAAAGATTCAACAAAATAATTTTAAGGATCATTTTATAACTTTTAATAATTAAGATATTCAATAAAGTAATATCCTATAATTAGATGATTATTTATATACTTTACCTTAGATTTTTTCACTTCTTTTAGTGTGGGTCGTAGTAGAAATTTTAGTCCTTTTTCCTCACATCATGTGATTTTCTCTGCACTCCTTTTATCTCATCACTCATCAATTGTTCACATTATGTATGGGTGAATATTCAATTAAATTAAGTTGTGTCGAGTTATAAAAATTGAATTATTTAAATTGATAAATTGTCTTATAATTCAAATTTTATATAAGAGTTTTAGATTTTTTTTCATAAATTCTAAATTTAATCTTAATCTTATTTAGGGAGGATGAGAGCGAAGACTCTAAGGGAAAGAATGATAATGCTCATAGTGGGTATAAAACTCGTGATCTACGTGAATATAAGGGAACAAAGATAAACAGTCTGACCAATCAGACAAAGTGCTTGCTCAAAATTTTTAGAGTTTAGTTGAGTCGAGTTGTTCGAAATTATATTTAAATTTAATTATAAATATTTATAATGTCATTGTATTATTTGATTCTAACTTAAACAGACGATATATATATATATATATGTTTATTTTTCTTTCACTACTTTTTTTAGTTTGTGTCGTAGTTAAGATTTTAGTTCTCCATCATGTGATTTTCTATGCACTCCTTTATTTCACCACTCATCGCTTGCCAACGTTTTTACCGAAATATCACCCTTACACTGAATAATTATCTGTCAGACATTCTTTCCCCAAATATTACCAATCTATCACTCTTTCTAACACAGTGGCAATAAAGCGCGGATCGCCATCCGCGCCTTCGTAGGGCTTTCTCTGAGCTGACGCCACGTAAGGGGAAGGTGCTGATCTCCATCCGCGCCTTCGTAGGGTTCTGACACGTACGGAAGGTGCGAATCATAATCCACGCCTTTTCTTTATTTCCTCAATTGTTCATCTCCCACATTAGTTACCACCCGTCTTCTCCCTCCCCTCTCCTTATAAATATCACACTCGACACAACCTTCAAATCACACTCAAATCTCAAATTCCCTCATTCTTCCTATTATCAACTTTATATTAAGAAGGTAAAATATTTTCTATTATATTAGAATTATTTAATAATTTATTATTTTATTAAATTTTATTGTACTAATTTTTTTTATTACTTTTTACAGTTATAAAATGAAAGGCGGGTTGCTACGTTTAGATGGAAATCATATCTCGAGGCATTTTACTGATATGGTAACAATTTTAAATTGTGTTGTTATTTTAATTATTGTAAATGTTTTATTTATTTAATTTTTAGTGTTAGTTTATATTTTAATTTGTAAACTATTTATTAAATTAGGAGAGAGATTGTTTTTTAGATCCATTCATTCGTAACGTTAAGTTAGATATACATACTCGTGTCTAACCATATTTATCCAAGGCTGGATTCAGTTATGCAGCGAAATATGAAGGGCATTGTAACCTTCAATCCAACCTTATTTCTACAATGGTTGAGAGGTGGAGACCAGAGACACACAAATTCAATATTCCGTGTGGAGAGTGCATGATTATGATGGAGAATGTTTCCATACATTTGGGGCTTTCGGTAGATGAGATTTGATTTTTAGGGTGGCAGATGGTGATTGGCATTCCTTGTACGAGTAGTATCTTGGAGGTGTCTCGTCAAATTTCAACGGTAGTTGAATACCATTAAATTGGTTGGATATAACTTTTAAACATTTGAGTCATGACACCTCCGTGGAACAAGTTAAAATGTATGAACGAGCTTGCATATTACATCTTATAAAAGGGATTCTGATACCTGACAAATCGCATAACCAAGTTCATTGTATGTGGTTGCGTCACCTCGCACATTTTCACATTATCGACACACTCAGTTAGGGCTATACAGTTTTGGCATTTTTTTATAAGGAAATGTGTCAAGCAACTGATTATCGATAAAATGCTATCGGTGGATGTCTCTTTCTTCTTCAGTCTTGGACGTGGTATCGCATGCCTTTTTTATGTCCAGTTGTGAAAACACGTTGGTCTTCCCACTATTGTTGAGTTAATTTCAATACTGAATTCATATATAAATAATTTTGTTGAGTATATAATGATTTTTTTGATTGAATAGGTGGTCAAGTGCAAGAAAAGATCATCGGGACTCACCGGATGAATTAGAAGAAATTCGACTACTCATTGATCAGAAGGCTAGTACAGAGATATGTATTTCAATTTTATTATTTACTTTTAATTATCATTATATAATTAAAATATTATTTTGATAAGAATTATATATATTTATTTTAGTTTCAATGGGCTTCTTATTCTACTGAAGAAATGAGGATTTGCATCCCACGTCACTTGAGAGGCCCATTAGATGTCTGGATGGCGGTGGTCCCTCTGATATGTTATACTATTATCAAGTGGCATCCTATTGATTGTGTGCCCTGCCAATTTGGTTTTGTACAATCTGTTCCGAAAGCACGTAAGAATCTCGACGATATGCATATCATATATAGATGGGACAAAAAATAAGTCGACTAGCTGTTGAAGCACACAGAGTGGGTAATGATATGTGAGGATCGACGTGAACGCATTCCCTGTATGAAACCCATTTATATGGATAATTATTCGGTTGTGGATAATTATTATAAGTGGTTCAACATGAACGGGAAATCGTTCCTACTTTATAAGGAAGCATGAGGCAGAAGCATTCATTGATGTTGATAAATATGTCCACCGTCACAGCATCAGCATCCCCCGACTCGTGAATGGAGAAGAGGCACTTCCGGCTCGTCCTCAGCTGTAGCACCAGAACCATCACAGCAGACATTGTCTACACTAGTGTACATTCCGCAGTCGTTTCAGATGACACTATAGCCGTATCATATAGTACTGTAACCATTTTAGATGCCATCATAGCCAAGTCAGACACCACCGCTTCCATATTAGATGGCACTGCTTCCATATCAGATGCCACCACAACCATATTAGATGTCAGCGCAGCCGGGTTAGATGCCACCGCCGTAGGGTTTTATGACCCCTCCTGGTGGATATTATACTTCCATGCTTGTAGATCCATAGTGGGGTTCATATGTTGCTTATTTGGCGGGTAAAGGTGGACAATATATGCAGATACCTCCAGCGTAGTTTTTGCACTCACTGATGTCAGTGTTTTTGTAGATTTCACAATTTTCTATGAGCGGTGGGATAGTCAGTCAAACACCTCCAGGGTCTTTATTCTATGAAGGTGCAACATCGTCATCCATCTCTTATCAACAAAATGTAGCTACTCCTGATGATGATGATGACGATGAGAGTGAGGTGGAAGAACAAGTTATACGAAGAAATCCTCATCGACACAGAGTACCATTTACTCGGTGATGCTCAAATGACAATAAGTGAAAGTAAATAAAAATTAAATAACACAAACTTAGATTTCATAAATAACTATTACATCATCTCAACATCAACAGTTACTTGATGACAAAAGAGATGAATATTTTTTTCCTATTGTGTCCTAGGTTTCTACAATGCCCACATCTTTTGTTTTCTCTAGACGTTTCTCGAATATACATGTCACAATGAATTCGAGTGGATTTTAGATGACTGGGCTCCCTTAATAAGGACAGATCTGTACAACTGGAAGCCAATTTTGAACCTCATTAGGTCTTTCTCATTACCTATGGGGGGAACTCAAATTCATATACCTTAAATACTTCTAAAGGTCTATATATGAGATCCACAAAATGGTTACAATCTTGACGAGTATAAGAGCAAGCTGTTATGACATGGGAGCATGGATACTTTAGAGCTTGAAAAAACCCATAGTCACACCACCTGTCTCGTGGATTAACTCTGAACGAGTTAGCTTTAATCCCTTGAAGAGGTCGTGGCATCTTTGTGACACGAAGTAATTCATGGGTTATAGAGAAGATTGTTACAGACATTCCATTTGATGCAACAATTCCTTTTTGTAGATCTACAAGTAATCTTGGGTGATAGACATCACCATTTTACATCCAAGTTTGAGCTTTCCCCAAGCTTGGCAGAAAGCACTCCCAAATGAAAATACTTCATTTTAACCAAAGTCATTATTGGTAAATGGTGTGCCTCCTTTAAGGTCAAATTGATAGCCTCAACCAAGTTGGTCGTTATGTGTCCATATCGATATCGACCATCATATGCATTTGTCCACATTTCTTTATTGATGAGGCTGATGTAATTATATTCTTCCTCGTTCTTTCCTTGCAAATCTTGATGCATGCACTCAAATGTTTCAGGTAATAGTTCGTAACCTGAGCATCAAATGTAAAACTTAAATTAAGTTTCCATAAAAAATGAAAATGATTGAGAAATAAACTTAGGCATTTTTACAAGTAATTGACGCTCATCATTCTTCTTGAACTTTCCATAATAGTTAGTAGCAATGCGTCAGATACAATACCAATGTTGTATATAGGGTGGTTTCCATATTAGACCCAAAGACTCCATTGTTGCTTTGATCCTAGCTCCGCGATTTAAAATGACACATTTTTTTTCCCTTGTGACAACATGTAAGTGCAAGTTTATGAGGAAA